CCGCGTGGTTCTTGGTTATGTTGTGGTATGGCCTAAAAATGAACACAAAAAACCTGGGAAGAAATGGCGCGTTCAAGAAAAAACTGAATGTAAAGGGTGTGGCAACTATAGTTGCCACAATGTCCATTGCGGCGTGCAAAACGCGGCAAACCTAGTTGCCGCGCTGTCGTCAAGGTGTTAAAATCACTCTGCGACGGGAAAGCAACAGGGCGACCTTCGTGGCAAGAAGCTATCGTGAAAAGCATCCAAGTTTGTCCAAAGGTTAGCCAAATCGACTGGGTGGAGTAAATCTCGTATACGATCGCCAAGAAGGCCTGCACTACAGACTCCACATGCAGTTGACAAAACTTTAAAAGACCATACAGTTAGTACTTCACTGCGCTAGCTAATAGTTGATAAATGATTGCTATGATTAGTTACACTTTTAGAGTACAGCCACAACCGGTTAATCATTTCCTTGGCAGTACCTACTGCATTTTATGTAGACCATCACTTTTAAAATCTACCTGCCTTTCTCTCAATGTTTTTTTTCTAGTTTGTTTCGCGAAGAAAAAAATCGTTATGAGAAGAAAAGCGCTGAGAGGAAGGCAGATGGACTCTAGAACAGCTAAAATAATGAGCTTAATCCAGTCGGTTCAGGTACACCTTCTGGTTTTTGAGAGGCTATGGTGACATACAAACCGGATGACTGTAATTGATGTTATTGGTGACTGCAAAAACTCACGTAAAAGGACTGGTGTTGCATTTCTTGCTGCCTCCATATCCACAGCTTTGTTTGTATGAACAAAGCCCACATGGTTTTGGTGAACGCAGTACGAATTGCATATAGTTGTAAAAGTTGTTCAACGCCTAAAAGAAGTGTTACAATGATATAAGTTAACTGGGAGTTAGGGATGATGAACTCACAGTGTTGTATCGCTTTACAAAAACGTAGAACCAGTGCATTTGACAGACGGGAGTGATCTGTTGGAGATACGGCACCTAAACCACTGTGGTACTGTCGTACATTCATGTGGCGCAGTATGGGTAGAGTATTTTAGAAGTACAAGCTGCGCCCTGGGCGCGCTAATTTTTTGCGCGAATTTTGTCGGAAGCGTGAACTTTTGAAATAGCATTCCTGCACAGCGCAACACGTTACCGCTAGTGACGCCTGGTGGCTCACCTTTTTGAAAGTAAATGAAGGTTAGTGGGCGCTATCGCAAGATAAGGGGGTATTGTGGGGCTGTGCATTCGAAACCGCGTAATACATCACTTTTTTTGTTGAAATCAGCTTTAGGCGAGGAGGAGAAACTCCAGGGAGCCTTGGCGATCATTATTTAGGGAGTTAGGACACCCATCTAGGACTAATTCTGCTCTCTCCTAGAATTAGTCCTAGATGGGTGCCCCGTATCTTGAGATAGCGCCGGCTGGTGCTTTTTTCCTCTTGATATCAGAAGTTTTTTCCCGAAAGTATCGCTTCAAACCAAACCCATTAATGTTCTTCTCGTAAATGTCTCTGCGATCCGGAGTCATTGCTCACGGAGACATTCAAAACAGCATGCTTAGAAAAAATGCTGATAGGGGACACTAGGACTGAGCCCAGAAGAAGAGAGAAACGGCAGGGGGAACAAAAATGCTCACATCCTCCTCCAGAATTCCTTTTTTCATAAAGCTTTGTTCCAAGTAGTGTAAATGGCTCACTCACTTGAATTTCCCCTCCCTCCCTAACAACATGAGCGCCCATAGATGTCCAATAAAAACAAATAACCGTTCATAACGTCAAAAGCCTTTACCACTGACCAACCGAACGAATTTCCCATCTGCCCTTTTCACAGAAAAGCCAGCAAACCAGCAACAAGCAAAGGGAAACTTACGGCTTTTTTATCGTCAGGCCATATGCAGGGACCCCAACTGCTCCAATTACTGCAGTCGTTACTTCGTGTCGCATTTGAGTACACGGCAGCTAGCTGTGCACTTACTGAAACCTTTTATAGTATCTCTTGCTAACAATTGTCAGGGAATTTTGTAAGCAATTCATGCAATAAAAAAGCCAAAGGCAACGGCAGCCTCACCCTGCCCATTGATTCCTGCGTTGACCAAGCAGGACCAGAATAGAGCGCTTGGACGAGCTCACCTTGGCAGCCATTGCTTGTCTTACCGTCAAGCCGCTTAAGAATAGGCCCTACTAATGAAGGCCGTGTTTTAATCCTCCCAGACAAGTCCGGTAATAACTTCGTATAGCATACCATGTGAAGTCAGTGTTTTTATCCTCCCAGACAAGTCTGGTACCAATTAACCGACCCCGGAGGGATGGAAGGCTTGGTTGGCCCGGGCGACTCACGACCCAGGATTTGATCCCCGGACCGCTCGCGTGGTAAGCGTGCCACTTGCCACTACACCACTTCCGCCCCATCTTTTAGCATGTTTATTCTCTTTTTTTGACTGCCAATTTATCGGATACCTGCCTTAAACCACTTAAGCTTTTCACAGTGCTGATCAGTTAGGGGTAAGGACAAGGTCCCACCGTACCGTGAATCCTAGCGGCAAGACTCGAATGCACGGAATACTCACGCAGCTAGCAGTGCCGAAGCTTTTCACCGTCTACCATTCCTCTTTCGCTTCACATCGCCCTCACCAACTAGTCATTCTGGTCACTTCTCAGCCGACAACAGGTCCCGTTTCAGTTATACGCTAAAGACTCATCCTAATAGCTGTGGCTATGCAAAGAAAACGGTAGAAGCTCGGGCCAACCTAACGACTATTGTTCGAACCTGTTGACTGCTCACGATCAGACCAAAATTATTATGAAGCCTTTACCTTGTGCTGTCCGACTAAGGGCCAAATCTTGTTCGTGGTACTACGTTCTATCTGCTGAAAAACTTTGGAATCTCATTGACCTCATCTGTTTATTGATAGAAAACAGTCAATTGAATGATCACGTACACGTTTTTCCTGCGTTCACGAGCGGATATCTGGGTTAGCACGGACAGGTCGTAATCGCTTTCATTGTCAAAAATGACAACAGAGGAGAGAAATTTATCTCGATCATCCACACCTGATTGAACTTTATCTTCAGCAACACACCATCGCCGGAACCGCACTTTCTCTTTTCTTTGCTCAAATCTTAGGCGCGATGATCCTTCGGCTTAACCCACTTTATTGAGTTGTTCGAGTAAAGTGACAATATCAAATGACCAATTAAGGTTGTGTAAAGTTCCTAGTTCAAGCGAAATGGGCCCGTGTAAAGGGAAGAGTAGAAAAAGTTGGCAAAAATTAGGGGGTAGATTTTGTAGCCGAGAAGACGATGACCGAAGATGAACATGGTTATTATGGAGAAGATAGGCGGCTGAGAAATGCCTGTAAAACCATCAAATAAGTGTAAGTTCCATAAGTAGGGAGATAGACACAAAGGATCAGCAACGAGTAGCAGTTCTACCCAGAAACTGCAAATAGGGCTCTGACCAAGGTTGAAAGCCTATCAAACTGACACTAAAGGTAGCATTAGCAACAAGATTTTCTGAGGAGGATTCTCGCAGTGGATAGCTCTTCGCGCTCCAGCAGGTAATTCGAAGGATAGGGAATGTTCTCTTACCTGCTTGTACTGTGGCTAGACAGAGCAGTAGACGAAGCATATCGTAATGGTCAGAACGACGAACTGATCGCCCACGTCACGCCCCTTCCCGTTGGACACAAGCACAGTGCGCGATCCAGATTGTTCAAGATGACCTGGAAATTGCCCCGATGTTGTGCAAAAACGCTACAGTGTTCTACTTGCTCCATAGCAATAAATTACTAGCTGAAGTCTGGTATCCAGTTCAGCTAGTCCTTTGTGACAAATTTTTATATGTACAACGACCGCAAAGTGACCGTGGAATCATGCCTGTTTACGCAGCGTTGTTTGACCATATCTGGATAACTGCAGTGCTGAAAACTGATAACTGAGGTGGAATACACAAAGGTGAAGAAACCATCAGGGATAAAATCAGGCCGTTCGAACCAGACAGCCGTCAGAGATAAAATGTGCTAAACATAGATCAATACAGTCAGAATTCGATTCGCAGTCCTTCTATCCGGAGGAAGCACAAGGTCAAAAGACTGACTCAAGCACTCGATGCCTAGCAGTACCTCTACTCTTTTGGCGCCACGCTACGGGAGGTCATTTGGCTTGTACAAGACTTGAATTGAGAAGATTTGAACTTAGATTGCGTCACGTTTGCTCTACCCACCCGCAAAGAGCCGTTGCGTTAGTTTATGATTGGTTTGCAGTTCTAACACCGATAACCAAAATTTAATAAAACAAACAAAATAAATAAAACAAACCTTCTTTAACATCATGCTTGATCAATGCAATGGCTACCATATTCGCGTGCAACCATCCTGTGTCATTCAGTCAGGTTTACTGAAAAGCAACCAAGATGGCAGTAACTTTGAATTCCAGGTGACAGCTGAGCGAGCCTACATTCTGGAAGGGCACAATTTCGAATCTCTGCTCCCATGTGCTAGCCACCCTGGAGGCTTCGTTCCACCTATGACATCGATTGAGAGTAAACCTGGTGAAAATTAAAAAAAAAAAACTATCAGATGACAGCTCTTCGAAGGGAAGGGTACATGCATACTTTCAGTCAAGCTCATTGAAACCACTACCAAGATGGCAACAACCTTTATTCAACTAACGTTTCGGCCTTGTCGCCTTCGTCAGAGCCTGGAAAGCCAAAGATAAGAGCGACTCATCCCCAAATAGCATTTCAAGATTCAAGAACAGTTCGGTAGACCCAATGGCTACGGAGAGCCCGTAAATCCCGTATCCAATAGCCATTCGCCCTACGAAACTGTTCCTGAAGTTTGAAATACTGTTTGGGGATGAGAACCCACTTACTCTTTGTGAACCCCCCTATTATTTCACATATTTTGGTTCTTATAACAGTTTTTACATTTCTTCGAAAATTTACTCGCGACCTTGGATGCGCGTTGTCAAGCAGCAAAGTAACAACTCGCCAGGTCTACAGTAGGTTCATTCATCTGCAAGCTACGTCTACATTCTAATACCCAGCATTGATGTTATCATTTATCCTCGCAGTAGTGACGTATTCGACCAGAGAGCAGAAACTTGGATGGAGGTACATAACTCAGCGGAATCCCTTTCGCAGCAAAGCCGGGTAGCTATCTGACCACACATCTTTTCCAGTGACATCTTGCGTGGCCAGCTGAAAAGCGGAGGGTAAACAGCAACATTAGCGGAAAGATCTCGCTTTTCTTCAGAAAAGGCTTACCCGGCCGGTGTGGGATTCCTTGTCACGTTGCCAATTTTTCTGTGCACCAGAGCGCGCGATTTCGACAGTTCAGAATCACTACCTACATTTCGAAAAGGCTTTGTCTACGAGAAGATTCTGAAGCGGCCAAAATCTGCAGCCACGACGCAGCTGATCTTCGATGCTGTGGCGCAGGAGGCGTACCTCTTAGCAAAAGCCATATATTACAATAGTGTTTTTCCATGTCAGTGTCCTTTTTGATGTCAGTGTATACACGGCTTTCACCTGCAGTAGCCAGGATTCTTTCATAAGAGTAGAACAAGATGACGAGCGCCTGGCCGTTGGGGTGGTAGGAGGAGGAATGAGAGCTCATGTGGTGTCATACTGTCCAGATTTTCGTGGAACTTTCCATTTTAACCTAGCGGAAACTCGAATCCATGAGTCACAGTGATACATCGTTGCTGTAACACATGTGATGACTTTCGGATCTTTGCGATGGCTTACAAGCGGCTAACAACGGATCGGAGGGACCAGAGTCCCTTCTCACCAAAACTGCCTTATTACTATCTGGCCCTTATTCTGTGTAGTGTGTCCCTGCCCGCGTTCTGGTGACGGATTTCTCCGATTTTTTCACTATTGGCCCACCACTGAGCACCTCACGTCCCTTGCAGTCCCCTCCAAACCCCATCGTGATGGCTGCCTTCAGGGAGTTCTTTCGCGAAGACACCATGTGTA